TGTATTGTTGTATTGTCGAGTGGTTAACCTGCAAGTAAGCATTTAATTGCACTGTGTACTCCATGTATATCATGTGTATATAATAAACTTGAACTTAGAAGGTAAGGGGGAGGGCAGCCAGAAAAAGACGGGTTAAGATGGCCAGCTTTTTGGTTAGATTGTAGGTGAACAAAACATTGAAAATATATAGGCCCTTAAATTATGTCTTCACATTAGCTGGTAGAACTGATGATATGAAATGAATCATAGCGGTCTTATAACTTTTTTCCCGCTCATGTCTCTTTATATTCATATAGCCTAGGGGCTATGTAGCTTCTTATCTGTTCTGTTTTGGAGTTGTGTTGCACTGTTATGTGGACACTTGAATTTTTCTTTACGGTTGAGTTGCCCTGGTTGTGTTAGTATACAGTAACTTAAAGCGCAACTGCCCCTAAAAAACAACTTATAATTTAGAAAGAAGCCTATGTCATTGAAACATTTAATCTACTGTCAAAATTGACTACAAAGTGTACGTAGGATAATTTTGGTCATAAAGTCACTCGTCCAAAACTGAGTTTTGTGAGACTTGTGGTCGTGACTGCATCACAACGTAAATGAAGGTTGGGTTTGTTTCAATCCTGCCCACATGCCCAGAGCTGGCAGCACACAAGTAATCATCAATTTGGAGTGCAGCTGCATGCGGCTCGATTGTAATGCCTGTGGTAAATTTAGGTTGACTTTGCATATCCCTATGGGGCTAGTTAGGGACCATCGGTAAATTGCAAAATGTACATGGGACAATATGTTAAAATTCCAGTAGCTCCAAACTTCAATTACTTAAAAACCTCAAACCAACTATAAATTGTAAAAATTAAGATACAAATATTGAAATCATTTAATGAGGACTAAAAGATGTGCAACCTGAAAATATGTCTCATTTACATTGTGTAATTTATTGACAGTCCCTAACTAGCCCCGGACATAGGCTATCCAAATTCAGTCAGGTCGCTCACCAGCCTGCTGAAGTTAATTGGCTAAATCATTTGGCTAACTCTTCTCACATGTGAACAAACACACGAGAAACCCACATCAAACCACACCCAGAAACCAACTCACGTTTGAATTCAATCATGGCCGCTAGCATTTCTTAAATAACCAAATCTAAAATGAGGCCAAATCAGGAAGTGCAGTCGCCCTTTAAAACTAACTAATGACATGTTGCACCTCTACCTTGTTACCTTTCAGATGAGCCAAGGAGGAGGACAGATGAGAACAGCAGACCAGTGGAGCACTTAGAACAGCAGCAGCCAGGGTCGAATGGTAGGGTAGAGGATGATTTGGGTGACCCAGACACAGGCCCAAAACAAAATAAGCTACCCCAGTATCCCCTTGACTGTTTTGGATTGCAAAACTAAAGAGACACACCAGACAAGACATAGAGACAGCAACAGAATAATAGGATATGACGGAGAGAGACAGCAGAAGAACAGAACGGGCCATGACAGAAGATGATAGACAAAGGACACAGTAACAAACATGAACCTGAGATGGCAACGGACAAGACAGGAGGGCAGATGGAGATAGAACAGAGGTGGATTGACCACATAGTAGACTGTCACTTCAAGCTTCTCTATAGATTGTAATTAGTTTTATTTGCACAAATTATAAGAGGTGAAATACAGACAGTGAAAAGTAAAACATGGTTTACAAAGAATTTGCCTGGGGCCTGTAGAATTACTATTAAAACAATTGTTTACTTTTACATCCCACAGGAAGGTGAGGCTGGGCCAAGGTGCTGCTCTGCTCTCGCCCTCTCTCTGTGCTGTAGGTAAGGGCAGGTGCTGGAGTGAAAAGCCTACCTTATTCAGGCTGAGAGAGAGAGAGAGAGAGAGAGAGAGAGAGATAGAGGAGGAGAGAGAGAGGAGAGAGAGAGAGAGGAGAGAGAGAGAGAGAGAGAGCGAAGATAGAGAGCGCGAGAGGAGAGAGCGAGCGTAGAGAGATAGAGAGAGGATATAGGATATATAGATATAGCGCAGAGGAGATAAGGATAGAGTAGAGGATCTCTCTCTCTCTCTCTCTCTCGCTATCTCTCTCTCTCTCTCTATCTCTAGCTACGCGCTATCTCGCAGAGAGCTAGAGAGCGATCTCTCTCTCTCTCTCTCTCTCTCTCTCTCGCTTCTCTCTCTCTCTCGCGCGCTCTCTCGTTGTTTTGTGTGAGAAAGAGAAAAGGGGAAGAGGAAAAGGGGGAACTTTCCTGTCAGTCGATGAGCCCTCCCTCTCTAGCTGTGTGTGTTTGTGCGTGTGTGTGTGTGTGCGAGAGAGGAAGAGAGATAGAGAGAGCAAGAGTGAAGGCGGCACTCTCTCAGCAAGGGGAGGGGTGACAAGGGACAGAGGGAGAGAGACAGAGAGTGCTCCAGAGTAGAGAGACCCACAGTATCAGCTATAATTGAGTACTGGCAGTGTCTGCTGTGGAAGGTGGGAAGGTGCAAGTTACCTGAAAAAGCCTTGCCAGATTCTGTGGCATATGCTGCTTTCATAACGAAGTAGGAAGGTGGTAATTACTAGTTGTGAACTCATAAATACCAGTTGGATGCATTCACGTGCTTGGACTTGTTGAGAAACGCAGTTTGGCTAATGGCCAGCGTCATCCATAACTAAAAGTACAGATATCATTCTTTTAAACAAATTATAGTGTTCAAAAACAATATTAATAGTTTGCATTTTATAAATAATATTTTGTTGCTGCATTTAACTGCTGAAAATGCTGTTATTGAGGTCATTTCCTTAGTAGGTGACGTCAGAGGTCAGCATGTGGGAGAAATAGGAGCTCAGGGATGCTTAGTCTCCCGAGTGGCGCAGTGGTCTAAGGCACTGCATCGCAGTGCTAGCTGTGCCACTAGAGATCCTGGTTCGAATCAAGGCTCTGTCGTAGCCGGCCGCGACCGGGAGACCCATGGGGCGGCGCACAATTGGCCCAGCGTCGTCCAGGGTAGGGGAGGGAATGGCCGGCAGGGGATGTAGCTCAGTTGGTAGAGCATGGCGTTTGCAACGCCAGGGTTGTGGGTTCGATAAAATAATGTATGTGCTAACTGTAAGTCGCTCTGGATAAGAGCGTCTGCTAAATGACTAAAATGTAAATAGATGAGTTTCCCACTTGTAATTACCAGTTGGAGGGGCGTTCAAGTTGGTTATGAATGCAGCAATAGACCGTTGCTGCTTATTCTGCACAATGTCGGAAAGTCATTAGAATACATGTACGTTAAAAAGTGAATTGTCCCCCACAATGAAATCGGGGAGGGGACTGTGGATCTGTCTACGTACGTTAGTCACACACGATATCTGTAAGCACTGACCCGACTTTGGTGAATTATGCGTTTTGCCATAGAGATCCGGCATTTACACAATTACACTGATTGGCCAGATGGTGGCGCTATAACACAAGATTGAAAATGAAAACTTTGGAAGGTCACACCCCTCACCCCGTTTGACCTAAAGTCATGAAATTTGGTGCATAGGTCCCTCTCCTCACAAGGAACACATTTGCCTCAGGGACCCATAAGGTCCGCCATTTAGAATTTTTTGTTATAAACACTTAACGCTACTCTTCTGGCACCAAATGACCGATCTGCACGAAACTTGATATGTGGCATCTATGGACAAAGGTCTCCAAATGCAATATTTTTCAGACTAGTACCTAAAACAACATGGCTGCTATTGACCGATAAACATTAATGTGGGTGTGGTCTGGCACAAATCGCTATAAATCAGTCAGGATATTCTTATTGTAACAAAATTTGGTACACAAGTTGCAAACACTGTCATATCGACCACACGGTGGTGCTATAACGGGCACATGTTTATAGCTCTTGATCTGTTTGACTCAGTGATGAAATTTGGCACACTTGCTCAGGGATATGAGTCTAGCTAACCCACGCTATATCTCAGTTAGCACTGGCCCGATTTTGACGAAACTTGGGTGAATGATGCGTGTTGGCATAGAGATCCTTCATTTACAAAATTACACTGATTAGCCCAGGGGGGGCACTGCATCATTCGTGGGGGCCAACATGTTTACTGTTGCCTTGTTAGTTACTAATTTAATATTTGGGGTTTTGTAAATGATCTGAGTCAATCACCACCAGTCTGCATGACAAATTAATAATCTATATATTTTTTAGTGTTGATGATTCTAATAAAACAAATGTGTGCGTTATGTCATGACTCATGTTCCAATACACTCTGAAGACATTAGTGCTTACTCACATCTCAAATCGACAGAAAACTACAAGGTGTACTGTACCTGTTGACTGGATCTGTGTGTGTGTGTGTGTGTGTGTGTGTGTGTGTGTGTGTGTGTGTGTGTGTGTGTGTGTGTGTGTGTGTGTGTGTGTGTGTGTGTGTGTGTGTGTGTGTGTGTGTGTGTGTGTGTGTGTGTGTGTGTGTGTGTGTGTGTGTGTGTGTGTGTGCGCGTGCATGCAACATTTCAATGGAATGTCCCATAGTCTACATTAACTTTGTTGGGTGAAAGTGCATCATTTTTATGGTGATAATAAACATGAATGTTTTATTTAGTCTTGGACGTCTCCTAGACACTCGACTCAACTTCCCATGCAAGTTGATGTCTTCTGGTTCCATGTTTCCATCTACTGGTCAGTGTTTTACCCTACAACCATTCTATAGAAGGAGATGTATACTAGCACTTCCAACCAAATATAATTTCTGCTATTGTAGGATGTTGGCACACTAAATAATGTTATTCTAACAATCTCAGATAAGTTTTCATAGCAACTCCGTAAGAGGGCCTGACAAAAACATCCAGTTGGGTCAAACTAAATCAGGGTCAAAGCCTTTATTATTTCCACCCCAGACACATAGGTAAGTCAATGATGGTCACTTCACTTCCGAGTTCGTCGTTTCTTGGTGGCCCTCTGTGACGAGGAGGTGAGACTCGGTGGAGCCCTGGATGGATGGGAGGCCCGGAGTTGGCTTCTTAGGGGGCCTGGGGTCACAGCCACTCTCTTTCAGCTAGTGCCAGCGGCGGCAGGGGGGGCAGGGGGTGGGGGTGTGGGGTTGGGGGCGGGAGTGGGAGTGGGGGTGGGGGTGGGGGCGATGAAGCAGCCTCTCTTGTGCCACTGCATGTCACGCACGCGTCGGACGGACTGGATCTGAGGCGCCGATGCTCCCCAGTCGTTCCAGTGCTTGTAGTCTCCATGCTCAAAGATGTACTGGTGGCCCCTGTAGCCTGGGAACATGTAGCCCACCCACCTATGGAGGACAGGGGAAGAGGGACATACAGTTATAATGACATTTATGGAACAGAAGTGGTTGAACTTCAGAACCATACTTGCATGAGAGATAACCTTGCAGTAACCTAGCTGTAGACAGATACTGTATGCCTGATCTCAATGATGTGTAAAGGTGTTGAACTTACGCTCCGTTCATAGCCTTGATGCTGGCCACGCGGTCCTGAAAGCCATGGACCCACAGGCTGGGGATGTCGTCGTCCACAATCTCCATCTTCCTCCCGGCGAAGCCTGGGTTCTCGAACAGGTGGAGTTTGTGATCCGCACTGTCCTGGGCAGGAACAAGTCAGAATGGGTGGTGGTTACACTTTGTTTTCATGTCTGCTATTTACTTGGTGTTTACTTTTAAGGAAGGTAGCTATTACTCCAGGGCTGGTAACCCTACTTAGAAAAGTGCAGTTTAAAATAACTAAATAATAATCAAATACTTTTGTTGGCTTGGGAGCACAAATCATTTGGTACAAATAGGTTTCTTATGTAGAATTCTGTTAATTTAGGAAACAGAAAAGGGATTCGCCCTTTAGCTTGACAGGTTAGTCTTATCTCATTGACATGACAGTTGGATGCCTGTCCACTGTGGGTTGCTATGGTCAGTAGGCTACATCCTTATATACTGTACGTAGATTAAGTGTAACATATTTTGTCTATATTCTCTGTGTATTCTGTTTAGTGTAAGGGGTTGTCAGCACCATTGCACCAGGTCAGATTGCTTGTACATGTAAATATACTCAGTTAATAAAGGTGATTATGATTCTAATTATAGTTAGAGGGATATACTGACCACTCTGAGTGGCCTGAGGGACAGCAGGTAGTTGTTAGTCTGGCTGTTGGTCCAGGTGCTCCAACGAGGATACTCGCCCTTCTCCAGCACAAACTGCTCCCCGCCGAATGCCTGGCGCTCAAATGCCACCCAGCTGAGAACACAAAGGTAATTGCGCTTTACCAATTTGTTGTACATAAACACTAGCTGTGAGATAGTAGGGGGGACCGGGGTTGGTTGTCACACTTTTTACTCTTGTGTGTTTTTCTCAGCAGCAGTATATCTTACAAGACTCTTTTCAATATTAGGAGAAAGACCAAGGTCTTGGGTTGAAACGGGACCTTTTTAAAATCATTATCTTATTACGACATGGAGTTATAAGCCATCAAACACACTCTGTCCACTTGTGACAACAAGCCCCAACACAGGGTTGGTTGTCACACAGTATGTAGTTGGTTGTCACAATGTTTGCTAGTAACTTATTCCTTTTGTAACAGGAAATGAAGCAATATAGCCAACAGTCTTAGAAATAGCCAAGCCTTTCTTTGATCGAACAATATTCCTAACAAAATTCAGCATTTTATGCCTTGAGAATAACATCCCACTGGGCACAGCACGTCATTTCAACATGGAGAATTGGGTAATATTTGGTTGATACGTTGATCAATGTGATTACAACTTTTTTTCACCCACTCAAAAAACAGTTGAAAGTTTGTTGAATTCCCAATGTGTTACCACTATGCTTTCAACCATCTAAAAGCACAACCAAATTCCAATGGGAAATCAATGTCTGATTTTAGGTTTAGTTGTCACCTAAATGTGATATCACTACGCTTTCAACCTTCTAAAACAAAGTTCAAATGGGAAGACAATGTTAGATATTTTATTTATTTATACAACAACTTTATGTGTAATCACTGTGCTTCATCTACTAACACAACCAAATTACCTGGATTGCATTGAGATTATTTAAGTACATGGTGCAAGTGGTCAATGCCGTTTGAGATTCTGCACAGATTATTATAGATTATTGTGAAGATTTCCACAGACCTGCGACATTTCCATGCTATCTTGAACATACACGCGTTCTATAATTACATACGACATTTATTGTTACAGTAACCTCAGTGTGGCCAGGGATGTGTTATTCATTTTACATTTGAATAAATACTGTTACATTAGTTTGTAAAATAGTCTTAACTTTAGGCTTTTTACTGTATTACAAAAATAATATTGAATTGTGTTTGGTTGACAATGCAATCAAATATCAACATTTAAAGGAGATTTATCTACTGCTTGGATAGTTCCATCTGAGCCACTGGCTTAATCCTATTATTTAACTTTTATTTTTGGTTGAGGTGGAGACCTGAATCCAACATATCATTTGTTAACTGGTAGGCAAGTTAATAGGCTATTTACTGTGTTGCAAAAGTGATCTTGAATTGTGTATGGTTGTCAACACAACCAAATATCAACATTTGAAGGAGATGTATCCTTGGATAGTTCCGTCTGGCTTTAATTCCACTTTGTCTACAAATTCATAATTGATATGGTAGATTCACGTCTCCATTTCAACCAAAAATCTAAGTGAATTAACAGGACTAAATCAAATCAAACTTTAAATGCACTTTAAATACAGTTTGATTCAGTCATATTCTTTCACTTAGATTTTTGGTTGAGATGGAGATGTGAATCCAACATATTGTTTTACTAACTCGTAGATTCCATTTTAAATCAAGCAAAGCTTGAAACCCTAGGCCTATTTGTATTGTCTACTTTTAGTTGTATCCTGGGTTGAATTTAAACAATAGCTGTTGATGACTTCCCAAATGCTATATAGGCCTAAATAGCATCATTGATGATATATGATTGATAAAGTATGGTTACATTTCATTTGCTCTGTTAAATCTACCCTTTGTAATGACTTTGATTGCAACAGTCAATCTATTAAGTGGAGATTTCTCAACAATCATTCTCACAATAGCACACTGGTAACAGACGGTGACAAATCTCAAAGATGAGCATGGCTGGGCCTGTATGGAAAACCAAAAGGGTAGCTGTAGATAGATAAACTCTCCAGTAGGTGGTGCTGCCCAGCCTATTGCTTTTTTCTTTTAGTGGATATTACATTGAAGATCTGGCGTTGTTTCAAAGGTACAAATTCAACATATTTTATACAAGGTTTGTCAATGTTGAAAATTGGTTACCATGATGACATAATCCTGGGGTCGAAATTTCATCCTCAAAACAAAGGTTTACGTTGATTACTTTTTTCAAATCCAATGTATTTTCCACATAGATTCCACGTCACAATACCTTGACAAATTACATTGAAACAACGTTGATTTAACCAGTTTGTGCCCAGTGGGATATGACATTTTGAGTACATTTGTGTGTGTATCCGTGTTTGCACACGCATGTGTGTCTGTGTATGTGTGTGACAGAAAACGGGTGTGTGTGAGAGAGAGGCAACAAAGAGCGCTCTTTATAGCACAAAAGAGCTTGGGATGTATTGTATATTGGCAGTGGCAACTGTGGCATACCGAAGGTTAGCCACCAGGGGGAGAATCGTCGAGGCCTGGTGACAGACAGAGTCTACATCACGTGGCGATGTCTCCCTCTGCTGGACGTGCCAGGTCTCGACGGGCTCTCCGCCAGGACTAATTGGGGCTGATTGAGGTTGGTGAGTAATCAAAGGGCTGATTGCTCACCAGCAGGACGAGTCCCATAAAGCTGCCAGAAGGGCAGCACATGGGAGTGGGGAAGAGAGGTTACTTCCGTATAGTCGTGCGCAGTACCAGAGATAACGGCGGGAGCGCTGTTTTGTTCCCCACAGGATACAGCAAGACCCCGGAGCCTAGAAGATCCTGGAGGATACCTATTATTTTCTCTTTGTTTAATATTTAAATAAACACCCTTGAAACCGAGCTAATACAATTCTGTCCGTGTCTGATCTGTGTAAACGTCTTGACCAAATCCCCTGGTCTGCCACACAACGTTGATAGTGACAACCAACCTCACATTCCATGTGACAACCATCCCCAACCACCCCCCAATGCTAATGAAGATGCTAGTTACCACATGGCTTGGCCTAGGAACTCAGAAATTGGTTTGAAATATTGCGTTCCCTTTCCTCTTTTCAACAAACATAATTGTTAATGGCTACTAACATAATTCAAACATTTACAAAGAACATACCAATATATATTTTTACTTTCAACTGAAAAACACAAATTCCCCTAACCTCAATGTTTTGTCATGCTGACATGAATTGACCAGGTGGATGAGTTCTTTCAAAGAATTCACAGACTTTAACCTTAAAATTACTACACATCAAAATGTATACACAGGTGAATAAGAATGTAATTGAATTGTCTAAAGACTGAAGTTGGATTTATAAATGTTTTAATAAGGGCATTGTTGGAGAGTATTGGAGAGACAGGTAAAGAGGAAGTGGGCAAGAATGAGGCATCATGGAAAATGTAGAAAATAAACATTGGTCACACTTACGGTCCTGATTCCACGATGACAGATCCCACCTTCTCACATCCCTTCTCGATCACATTCTTACACTCTGCAGACAGCTCCACTTTCTTCCCACAGAAGTTCTCAAACTCAAACACCACCACCTACAAGATAAGCCAGGAAGTGGTAAGTAATTACATTAGTATAAAATAGGCTAAACAACAACATTAACATTAGCACAAATTTATGCAGGTTGCACAGTTGTAATTTAACAATGTGTTATACTATACTGCAGTGTTATTATGCTTTACTTGCTTATGTCATTGTAAATACATATTGGTAGTATCAGTGACACTTCATAAAAAGTTGGACCAAGTGAATCTTAGGCTAGGATATAATAAGATTAAAAGAAGGTCCAACAGATGTCGGGCACCTTGTTGCTCCAGGGTGAATTTTTCCCTATACTCTTAGAAAAGAAGGTGCCCTCCTAGAACCATAATGGGTTCTTCAATTGTCCCCATAGGAGAACCCTCTGAATATAACAATTTTTGGTTCCATGTGGAACCCTTTTACTAATACAAGGTTCTACGTGGAACCCTTTCACCACTAAAAGGTTCTAAGAATAAGCTTTTTCACCACCAAAGGGTTCTATCTGGAACCAAAAAAGGTTCCCATGGGGACAAACGAAGAACCCTTTTTTTCTAAGAGTGTAGGTACAGAACTAAGATCAGCTTTCCCTCCCCAGTCCTAGTGGGGAAAATGCTAAACTGACCCAAGATCAGCATCTAGAGGCAACTTCACCCTACACCCACCTTGTAGGTGGCTCCTGCCCCTCCTTGGCTCTTTCCAGCTGCTAGCTGCTCCGGTGCACCCTGCTGCTCCGACATTTTCCCTCTGCATTCCAAAGAAAAGTTGACAAACCTCCAAACATGTTTGAGAGGCGCTGACTAACGGAATAGTAACTTCATGGTGGAGAAAAAGGCACTGTTTGCCAAAATGTTGCTTTTTACCCATTACATTATTGTGCGACCCTTTACATTCCAAAACATTCCCAAAACACAGTCGCTCAGCACAATGGCAGCATAGCACCCTCCCTCCCTTGAGGTCTGGCCAATGACGATCCAGTCTTGAGCTACACCCTTGAGAGCAGGGGTGCCCAAACCGTAATCTCAGTGGGTTGAAACGTAATCTCAGTAGTGAGCCAGGGGCCAAAAAACCCCAATAGAAAATTGTTCATAAATGCATAAGAACCGGAAGCCTCTGGCGTTGTCCAGTGCCACGTTTGGCTTTTCCTCAAATTCAATGCTTTTCAAGTGTCATCAAATAGTTTTTGCCTGCACAAATACTCCCAACTGAAACATTCACATATTGAAAAAATATATATAATCTTACATATTCTTATTCCACAAATGGACTTTTGCATTTGACACATTGATACATATTCAGTTCCAGGTAAAATAACAGTGCATACAGGGTTATGGAGAGCGATAAATGGGGATAATTGAAAACAGCAAGAGTTGCAGCACAAGACAGACAGACAGACAGAGCGCCAAGGAAAGAGAGGGATCTGTCTGTTTTTACCTGGATGGCTTGTGCTTCAATGCACCACGTACGAGCCACACTCTCTCCGTTTTTCCTTGTTCTTTCTTTTTTCCTTTTCTCTCCCTCTTTCTGTCTCTGTATGAGTGTGGAGGCCTGGCGAGCAGGCACTAGGTGCCGGTGGGGGTATTTATGGTTTATAAATGGCATACTGCAGCAAAAAAACATGGGCGGGTGATGCTGTTGATGCAGCAAGTCTGTCGCTCGCATTGTGTCCATCACATTGCCTCTCAATAGGGTTGTGTGCCCTCGGCCGGGGCATATTGGCACCCGCTGCCACCCGGGCTGACCACGCTCACGCTGCCAACCTGCCAGTGGCCCGATGGTGGGCACACACAGACAGCGAGCCAAGAGGATTGAGAGAGATCAACTCCACTCAGCACTACCAGCCACACCCAACTGCCCATCTGTCTGTCCAGCTTTCCATCCTTCTGCCTGTCCACTGCCCCACACTTTCTTCTTTCCATTGTTGCTTTCTATTTACTCTCCTTCATCTTCTCCTACCTTCACTCTTCCCTCTGGTATTTTATTACTTATTTTTCATCACTCCTCTTTTACTTTCAGCCCTTTCTGCATCCCTCTATTCACCTCTTTCTGTTTAGCTACTCTTTTAACACGACCCTGTCCTATGCACCAGGTGTTAGTACTATATTAGTAGGATCCCAGTCAAACATCTGTCGTTGCCATGCAAACAACATGCAAATATTCTTACAAGCCTCCCTTGATGCACTGGACATTTTCACAAGCACACTTTCCAGGGGGAATCTGGAGAAGGCCTTCATATTGTTTATTGACAACTGGTGTATGCAACCAACATACTCCTATCACACACTTTTCGGTAACACTTTACTTGACACCTAGTGTCATGACACATTATGATACGGTCATAACCATGTCATAACAGCTGACATAACTTGTCATAACCTGTTATAATATGTTTAGACCTGTTGTGACATATATTGCATTATTTTATGGCTGGTTATGACACCTACATAAGAGTGTCAAAACATTTCATTAGCCTGCGTGTCAACAGTATGTTTATGTTATATATATATATATATATATATATATATATATAAACAAACGTATAGACCATATTAAATTATCGTTGTAATTGCGCACACATTGATATCAGACATGCACCTACCCCAATGCTCTGTTGCTGATAACTGGGATGAATGCAGGAGCAGATTTCAGGAAGGAGCAGGACAAGACACCCCCTTTTTGACTAATGACTGATATAAGGGCATGTATGTGATAGGCCTATTTGGCTTATATGATCATGATGGTCATAATGCTTCTTGACAGTTTCATAAAGTTTATTTTCTTAGTCCAAGTAAAGTGACACAGGATGGTCATAATGCGTCTTGACAGTGTCATAAAGTGTATTTTCTTAGTCCAAGTAAAGTGACACAAGATGGTCACAATTCTTCATGACAGAGTCATAACGTTATTTAAAATATGATGAAAAAAAACATGAATGTAAAGAATTAATTACAACAACAACAAAGCATTTAAGAAACAAACTTTAAAACGAAAGAAAACCTCTTGGCAGGGAACATTTTTTTGAAATAAATGTGGGTTTTGCACTCTTATGTAGGTAGGTATCATAACAAGCCAAAAATAACACAATATACTGTATGTCACAACAGGTGTAAATATATATATATTTACACCTGTTGTGACATATATATATGGGTCATGACAGTGTTATGACCATATTGTGACAGGTTATGACAAGTTATGTCAGCTGCTATGACATGGTTATGGCCATATCATAACGTGTTCTGACACTGGGTGTCAAGTAAAGCGTTACCCACTCTTCACACAGTCAATGTAGAAAAGTAGGTGTAGGTGTCAAAAACATTCTATGGTGCCATTCAAAATATGTTTCTTACTGTATATAGGCCTACAGTATTTGCATTTCTGACTGTGTGCATTTTTTGTGTTTTCTATTATTCCAGTGAAGATGAAGATGAAGATGAAGATATGTGTTTGATTCTTTCATATTATGAAGATAATATTAAAGAATCAAACACAAAGATTCCATTGAAAATGTTATGGAAATTTGCACCCTTTCAAAAACCGCTGATATAAAATACTCCTTAACTGACAGAAATACAGATTTATCAGGAGACAGGGTTACTGATCTTAAGGTAAAAAGCAAAGCCTTTACTGATCTGCAGCATTGAGCAATATCAGCTGATCAACACTCAGAAGAAACAAGATCTTATCCTTTGCTGACAGCAATACATTCAGACATATCAGATAAACATGTTTATTATTAATGCAATTACAATAGGCCCTTGCCCAAATATACATGAATCTAAATGTGTAAAATTAGTACTTTTTACTTGATAGACATAATTCTGTCAATGTCAGTCTGCACCTATGGACGGGGAATGGTATAGTACACAATTAATTTATAGGGCACCTGTAAATGTATCACTCTTAATGTGCTTTATGGCACTTTTGCAGGATTTGGGCATCCTGGCAGGCAGAGTATGCACATGTGTATTGGTTTGTTATTGGCTGAGATCAGATGAAGGACCTACTGTACACAGGGGTTGAAACATTGTCTCTTATCAAACCATAACAAGTGTGCAGACAGAGATATTCCTCTCCTTTTCTCGTTTGGACAGAGTAGAGATAATTTCGATGTATCTACCAGATGCTTTTATCAAGAGCAGCTCATCAGAGCAGCAAGTGAGTGCATAACATAACAGAGAAAAGAAACGGACGGGTTAGTTCAAAACAAGAGATCAATTGAGAAAGAAGGAAAGTTCCATGGCTAGGTGCCAAAATATGTACAATTCAAGTATGCATGTGAACATTGTGGCATTGTGGATATCTGTGTGCATGACCTAAACACGTATGGTAATTACGTCAAGCTCCCACACAGAATCTAGCACGCAAATTTGGATGGATGGAAAGATACAGTCTAGAACATACAGTGGCCTGGGATGAGAGGCACTTGTCCAAATGTTGCAAATATTCTGTGTGTGTGTGTGTGTGTTTGTGTGTTGCAAATAGTCTACATGCTCATAGTTCCTTTGACGAATAGAAAAGTCGAAGAGATGGTCACAACGCAGGGAAGTAAAGTATCCAATGCTTCTCCATTGTCTTGCATAGTTTGTCCATAAAAAAAAGTGAGTTTCTGGAAAGGCACATGATTGGAGGGAGTCCAGCTCACAGCTGTGTTTGTCACAGTGGTGTTTGTCAGCAACAACAGCAGCATCAGTTGGATGATCTCCAAGTCAATGCCCAGCTAGCACATAATGTTCTGAGAACCATATGCTTCTTAGAGCTTGGTGAAAGCATGGTTGTCCTATGGTTATTTTGCATACATCCTTCCCACAACTTTCTGGGAATGGTGCAGGATAGTTGCTTGGCTTTGGAACATTCTCAGCACATTTAAGGAACTTCACAAAAAAACGTTATTTTCTTGGAATTTTGTTACTTTAACAGAACGTTTCCTAAAAGTTCAAACATGGTTACATTTCATTTCAATTTTGTTAATGTTCTAAGAATGTTCTCCAACTGGTTTGACATTGAGAATGTTCTCAAATAGTTCAGAGAACATTAAAAAACAACATTCTTCTGTGGGAATTTTGGTACTTCAGCATAACGTTTCCTACAGGTTCTAGTTAAAGTCATGTTCTCAAACTGTTCAGAGAATGTTAAAAACATTTCCCATAAAAAACACAAAAACTTTAGTAACGTTCAGAGAATGTTCTAAGAATGTTAAAAAACAAACATTCCGTTCTCAGCATCAACAAAACTCTCTCGATCCTCTATCTTGTTAAGTGTGTTGGCTGCGCCCACTAATTGGCCATACCAGATCTAATTAGTGCTTGTTTCCTTTGAAATGGGGTCTATTTGAATAGATGAAAATAAACAGCTTTGTATGAGTAAAAAACAAACATGGCACGCTAGCTCCATTCTAGTGGCACATTGGACTAAATCCATGGATAGAAAACAGAAGATCATAGGTTCAACTCTCACTGACGCCATGCCACAATAAAAAAGAAATGTGTTTGCATGATTAATGCCAAAGTAAATGCATTTCATGTGTCCTATATGTGCTTGGAGTTCAAACCAAGCTATCAGTGTTATTAAAAGTCATATTGAAACACTTTCTCTGAATGTTATTTAATTACCTTTAAATAACCTATCATTTCCGTTCTCAGAACGTTAATAAAACCTCCCAGGAAAGCTTTCAGGGAACCATAGTAAAACGTTCTCAGAATCTCCCTGCAACCTAAAAATGTAAGTTCCCAGAACAGACCACGTTTTCACTTCCGTTCTCAGACCTTTCCGTTTTATCGGTCAAGATACTTATGGCTTCATTCCCAGAACCAATGGGAAACCAAAAACGTACGTTCCTACAAGTTCCAAATGTGCTAGCTGGGTGGTATCTCCTAGAGGTAAACAGGAATAAAAGCTAATTTACATGACACAGATACAGGGCATATTTTAAAGTGATAGTTCACTCCAAAATCAAAGTGTGTCTGACATTGTCAAACTGCAAACTTTTAACAAATTATAGGCTTTATTTGGAGTTAATTAACACTTTAAGGTGTGTATGGAAGGGGATAGTGATCAGGTATGTATTTTGATTGTAATAGCTGGTGTAAATTGGGGTCCATCCACTCAGCTAGTCCTCACTGTTGTATTGACTCAAGCGCTTCTTAGACTTGAGTTCTTGCAGCCATGAAGGAGATGAGTCCCCCCTGAGGGTCACATAAACATAGATCAAAATGTTTGCCTTGTAGCTGACTATTGTAGCAAAATGTTGTAGCTAATAGCTAACGAATGTACCCAGCTAACTATTTCAGTCTTTTGCATTGCTAGTTGTTATCTTGATTTTTTTCTTCTCATTCATCACATTTTGTTGATTCATGTTGAATAACTTTTTAAAACTACTAAAACAACTGAAAATGCTGAAAATGTGGTTTTATGCTAGTAAGATAAGAGCAGCATGTTGGACTAAACTTACCCTCCATCTTTGTTCCCTACAAGGGGCAGCACCTGTGACGCGCCGGGGAGGAAGGAGGAACAACCGGGAGAGCGGAAGAGCTGAGAGGGGGACGGGGCAAGTGTGTCTGTCGGACCTTCTTTGTCTTCTCCTTTACCTCCTCCCCCTCTTCGCTTCTTTAACTGGGCCTAGGAGAGGCAGTGAAGGTAAGAACGAGTCACGTTCTAAACGTTTTGATAGTAAGGGGTTACCTGCACTAAGACAAATCCTGCAGTAAACAATCACTTATTTATCACCCAAGATGTACTTTTTATGGTGTGGAACTTTGTCATGCAGTATGTCCAGCAGTGCAGGTTTGATTGAATCTAAGATTACGTCCCAAAGGGCACCCTATTCCCTATATAGTGCACTACTTTTGACCAGAACCCTATGGTCCTATGAACCCTAAATAGGAAATAGGTTGCCATTTGGGACGCACCCTTAGCCTCAGTCAGTCTTTCAGGGTGTAACATGCATTGAGAGCATCTACATACTGTACCTTGAGGGCGGACGGGTCCATTCCAGAAAAGAGGGGTATTCTCTGGGGCTGGGAAGGTGGTGAACATACTTCCCTCCCTCTGGGCTGCTCCTCATCAGACTCACAATCTCCCCTTGTCAGAGAGTCCACCTTATCTGCAAAAGGGTATAACAGATGGTTGGTCTTGTGTGAATTACCTTTAATGAGGGATGGTTGCAATGACCCTTAACCCCTACCTCCTAGCCACTTGTGTATCTAAAAGGATGAGATTGGTGTAAGAAATATATACCTCAAATTCCACTTAGCCTTTCAGAGGGCAAGGTGTAGCTATGATCTCTTCAGGCCTAGCTGCATGGGGGTAGGTCAGTGCTATGGGTTGATTTGGAATTGTCTACTAACCTGAGGAGTCACAGAACCTCCAGTCGTGGTCGCGGTCTTCCTCAAGCGTTGCTGTGGTAGGGTTCTGACGGACAGCACGAGGGGGGCGGGTCCTCCGACTCTTCCTCAGCTCTGCCCTTGCACGCTGAGCACTGGTGTCCAATAGAGGAGGAGAAATCTGTGCACGCACACACCCACACACATGATGTACACCCACACACACAATGTACACCCACACACACGATGTACACCCACAATGTACACCCACACACACGCAGGGGCAAGCAAAGTCAAATATCGTAGCCTACAAATGCGTACGTGCATAGTGAAAAGTACCAGATAGGCCTTCACAAGAGACTTACATCAGGAAAGGCTAATGGCTCCTCTGTTTCTTCTAGTGGATATGTACTGTTAGGCTCATCTGGTGTGACAGGGGAGATCTGTTCCACTGTCGTCTGCGGACTTAGGATGTGGGGAATAAAAAAACAGATCACAACAATTAAAATGTGGGTATAAACACGGAAAACCTTTGTCCACTTAATCTGGTACTGCTCCAATGTGGGTTCACCCAATCAAAGTGTCCCCCCTGCAATATGTTTTATCAACCAGCAGAGGTCAGAAGAAGTATACTACCTTCACTTTCTCTTGCTAGAACAAAATATCTATCTTCTGCGTACAGACCTGGTAGGCTACCTACTTGTAGAATCGCAATGCTCCTCAGTGGCCGACAGCTTGACTTTGAGCCAATCAGAGTGCACAAACCTCCATGTGGGGGAGCCGACAGCAGTGACAACAAAAACGAACGAAAAATATCTTACGCTATCTAGTGAATGACATGCTAACAGTTTAGCTAACATTAGCTAGCTAGCAAAAAAAATGGCTATGGGCTGGCACTGGCAGTATGGGATTATGGAGAGTATATTAAATTGTTATTTGTCATCTTGCTAGCTAGTTATCTAGCTGTGGCCATCTGGCTAGTATCAACAAAGGCTTTCTACAACAATAGCAACATTAGCACAGCTAGCTAGTTAGCTAATGTTGGATACCTAAAAAGCAAAATACACAGGGACTAGCATTGCCAAACTAAGTTTAAGAATGCAACACTACTGCCACCTTCTGGTTTGGAGTATTTTAACCAAGCTGATGGCTTCAAAGTCTGTGTGGTGTGAACACAAAAGTGATTGACTTCTGTGCTAAGAGGTGCTAAGTACTCTAAGCAAGCAAACATTTGACACTCACTGGTGTGTGGGATCCTTAAGATTATTGACATGCACCCATAGTGTAGTTATCAGTATTATAGGGGTATTGTACTGTGGTTCTCCTGTACCCACCTGTTATCCTCAGACAGTCTAGTGTCACAGCCCCCATACTGCTTGTCTGGCTCTCCACCAATCAGAGCCTCTGTGTCATGTCCCTCTCCCAGCCCCACACAGCACTTCAACTGCTCCTGATGAGAGAGAGAGAGAGAGAGAGAATTATCAAAAGTTGAGGTAAGTTTCATGAAGAGGGACACTATGCAGGGAGCAGAACGGATATCGATACTCAGCTGACACTTTTGCCTAGAGGGCCTATATAATGTTAATGTACGGAGCATTCCCCTAAACATGTGGGGCGACTAGGAGAGGGAGATGCAAGAGAACGGTGGTGAAGAGAGCACGCGAAGCCAAGAGCGTTCACTAAAACAGAAAAAGAAAGAGGTCAAACAACCAGCCAAGCATTCATATTTTAATGAGCTGGTCACAGAGGGTACACTGTCCTCAATAAACACCTCACACACGCATACACACACACACACACACACACACACACACACACACACACACACACACACATAAACAGACACACTGATAGTCCCACACAAACACATTCTTTGAACTTCACCTCACTCTACTGTTTGTCAAGGCGCACATGTCAATCTACTGTGGTTTTTATGTTACCCAGCAACAAAACCAACCAGTGGAGGCTGGTGGGAGGAGCTATAGGAGGATGGGCTCATTGTAATGGCTGGAATGGAATTAATGGAACGGAGTCAAACATGTGGTTTCCATATGTTTGATTTGTTTGATACCGTTCCATTCATTCCATTCCAGCCTTTACATTGAGCCCGTCCTCCTATAGCTCCTCCCACCAGCCTCCACTGAAAGCAACCCGGTGTAAATACAGTGGGAGAGGAACAGTTTTTGATTTGGTAAACATCTTTCTTCATAACTCCTTTACTGCCTTGATTGGGTGGGTCAGGCTACACGCACACACACACAGACAGAGAGAGAGAGAGCTCTTTTCTCTGTGTGACTTCATTTGCACAATCGTGCTGCGTCACTCTGGCCTGGCTGGCCTTTTCACTGTGGAGATGAATAAACCTCTATCAGGGGATTTGCCTACAGTACAGCAGGCTATGTCCTCATAGAGGAAGCACAGTGACAGACAGGAGGACTGGGTCTACTTCGGCTCTGTCTCAAATGACACCCTATTCCCTATATAGTGCACTACCTTTGACTGTGTCTTCACAACCCTATCTGATATGTACAGTAGCTGAGTTAAATTGCCGGTGTTGCGCTGGCAGCTGTATAGCAGTCCAGAAGGCTGCTAGCCTAGCAGAATCACAAATCTCCACCTGTTTACATAGAAAGCTTACAATGTATAAGGTGGGCAATAATAGGTAATGAAATTAGGAACTTCGTACTACAGTGAGGGAAAAACGTATTTGATCCCCTGCTGATTTTGTACGTTTGCTCACTGACAAAGACATGATCAGTCTATAATTGTAATGATATATTTATTTGAACAGTGAGAGACAGAATAACAACAAAAAATCCAGAAAAACGCATGTCAAAAATTTTATAAATTGATTTGCATTTTAATGAGGGAAATAAGTATTTGACCCCTCTGCAAAATATGACTTAGTACTTGGTGGCAAAACCCTTGTTGGCAATCACAGAGTTCAGACGTTTCTTGTAGTTGGCCACCAGGTTTGCAAACATCTCAGGAGGGATTTTGTCCCACTCCTCTTTGCAGATCTTCTCCAAGTCATTAAGGTTCGAGGCTGACGTTTGGCAACTCGAACCTTCAGCTCCCTCCACAGATTTTCTGTGGGATTAAGGTCTGGAGACTGGCTAGGTCACTCCAGGACCTTAATGTGCTACTTCTTGAGCCACTCCTTTGTTGCCTTGGCCGTGTGTTTTGGGTCATTGTCATACTGGAATACCCATCCACGACCCATTTTCAATGCCCTGGCTGAGGGAAGGAGGTTCTCACCCAAGATATGACGGTACATGGCCCCGTCCATCGTCCCTTTGATGCGGTGAAGTTGTCCTGTCCCCTTAGCAGAAAAACACCCCCAAAGCATAATGTTTCCACCTCCATGTTTGACGGTGGGGATGGTGTTCTTGGGGTCATAGGCAGCATTCCTCCTCCTCCAAACACAGCGAGTTGAGTTGATGCCAAAGAGCTCGATTTTGGTTTCATCTGACCACAACACTTTCACCCAGTTCTCCTCTGAATCATTCAGATGTTCATTGGCAAACTTCAGACGGGCCTGTATATGTGCTTTCTTGAGCAGGGGGACCTTGTGGGCGCTGCAGGATTTCAGTCCTTCACGGCGTGGTGTGTTACCAATTGTTTTCTTGGTGACTATGGTCCCAGCTGCCTTGAGATCATTGACAAGATCCTCCCGTGTAGTTCTGGGCTAATTCCTCACCGTTCTCATGATCATTGCAACTCCACGAGGTGAGATCTTGCATGGAGCCCCAGGCCGAGGGAGATTGACAGTTATTTTGTGTTTCTTCCATTTGCGAATAATCGCACAAACTGTTGTCACCTTCTCACCAAGCTGCTTGGCGATGGTCTTGTAGCCCATTCCAGCCTTGTGTAGGTCTACAATCTTGTCCCTGACATCCTTGGAGAGCTCTTTGGTCTTGGCCATGGTGGAGAGTTTGGAATCTGATTGATTGATTGCTTCTGTGGACAGGTGTCTTTTATACAGGTAACAAACTGAGATTAGGAGCACTCCCTTTAAGAGTGTGCTCCTAATCTCAGCCCGTTACCTGTATAAAAGACACATGGGAGCCAGAAATCTTTCTGATTGAGAGGGGGTCAAATACTTATTTCCCTCATTAAAATGCAAATCAATGTATACAATTTTAGACTTGTTTTTCTGGATTTTTTTGTTGTTATTCTGTCTCTCACTGTTCAAATAAACCTACCATTAAAATTATAGACTGATCATTTCTTTGTCAATGGGCAAACGTACAAAATCAGCAGGGGATCAATACTTTTTTCCCTCACTGTATATGCTATAGTGAGTAGACCTAACAATGTGGTATGAAAATGGATTCTAAAAAAAGCCACTTTTTACATTAAGGGCAAGTCATCCACGTGTACAGTGATAATATTATAACTATTGTATATCGATTGCAGTAAGTCATTCAAAATAAGGAGTCATTCTCCTACAAAATAAGGAGTCATTCTTAATAATAATAATAATAATACAATACATTTAGCAGACGCTCCTATTCAAAGCGACTTAAAGTAGTATATGCAAATATTATCGTATGGGAGGCCCCAGTGGGAATAATGTTAACATCTTGGGGAGAGATGTTATGACACAGCCAAACTATTTTAGCGGTGATCAAAACAGCATGAGTGTATTGGGTGGGCGTGGGGGTGGGGCGAGGGGGTGGGGGTGGGGTGAGGGCGTGGGGCGAGGGCGTGGGGCGAGGGGGTGGGGCGAGGGTTACAAGTCAAGACAGAGCAGGATTCCTGCTAGTGCTCTGCAGTCACACCTCATTTGAACATCTGTGCTTTACAGTATAGTATTGGGGGGCTTAAAGCCATCCAGACTGAAAAACAACCTAATGCTAGCTAGCATGACCTCTAAAACATGCAGCGATAAATTACATAGACACAGACACACCAAAATACCCATGCACGTATTGGCATTGAATGTCTGAATTTTTTTTTATCAGGCCTGATAAAAATATACACAAGCAGACACACTCGCTTCTCAGACAGAACACAGAATTTAAAAAATGCACTCACGTCAATTCAGAATCTCACACACTAGTGGTTATGGGAGGTCATTATTGCTGCATCCTGAAACGTTCTACCTTTTGTGCAGGTCTACAGTACAAACCCCACCATCATCTCTATTAGAAAGATAGAAGCAATGAAATACAGGCGTGTGGTTCTGCTAAATGTGTTCTGCAGTGAAAGAGGAATAAAAAGACTATACAGGGACACGTAAACATGGGCCTTGCTGAGGGGTGTAGCTTAAAGCAGTGTTGGGGAGTAGAGAACTACATGTAGATCAACTATACTGAACAAAAATATAAACGCAACATGTAAAGTGTTGGTCCCATGTTTCATGAGCTGAAATAAAAGATCCCCGAAATTTTCCATAGGCACAAAAAGCTTATTTCTCTAAAATGTTGTGCACAAATTTGTTTACAACCCTGTTAGAGAGCATTTCTCCTTTGCCAACATAATCCATCCACCTGACAGGTGTGGTATATCAAGAAGCTGATTAAACAGCATGATCATTACACAGGTGCACCTTGTGCTGGGGATAATAAAAGGCCACTCTAAAATGTACAGTTTTGTCACACAACACAATGTCACAGATGTCTCAAGTTTTGAGGGAGCGTGCAACTGGCATGCTGACTGCAGGAAGGTCCACCAGAGCTGTTGCCAGAGAATTGAATGTTAATTTCTCTACCATAAGCCGCCTCCAATATCGTTTTACAGAATTTGGCAGTACGTCCAACCGGCCTCACAACCGCAGACCACGTGTAACCACACCAGCCCAGGACCTCCATATCTGGCTTCTTCACCTGCGGGATCGTCTGAGACCAGCCACCCGTACAGCTGATGAAACTGAGGAGTATTTCTGTCTGTAATAAAGCCCTTTTGTGGCTGGGCCTTGCTCCACACTGGGTGGGCCAGTCTCCCAAGTGGGTGGGCCTATGCCCTCCCACACCCACCCATGGCTGCGCCCCTGCCCAGTCATGTGAAATCCATAGATTAGGGCCTAATTAATTGATTTCAATTGACTGATTTCCTTATATGAACTGTAACTCTGTAAAATCGTAGAAATTGTTGCATGTTGCGTTTATATTTTTGTTCAGTATAGTAATTTAACTACATTTTGCAGTGTTTTGGTGGTAGTTAAACTAAATTCAAATATTGGTAGTGTTTTCAGTAGTTAATTTGTTTTTTGCCATGTAGCTGTGTAGTTAACTACTGGAAATACACACAACTTTTTTTGCACAAAGAAAATAAAATATGGGTGAAGTAGGCAAGAATTTCCTTTCTTTTGTGGCATCAGACCTTTGAGTTTAATAGGCTAAATTACACATTCTGTTAACATCTGACTCCAGAGTAAACAGTTCTTGCAATTTGTAGTCTATGACATTTCAGATTTAGATATGATAATCATGAAGTAGTTTGGATGTAGTGAACTACTTTTTCAAAGTAACTTTAGTTAAGTAAACTATATTTTTCTTAAGGGTAGGTTTAGTGTAGCTTAACTTTTTCCAGTGTGAAGTAATTGGTTGCTTCAGAGTAGCTTCCCCAACACTGGCTAAAAGTGAGGTTAGCATGAGCAGACACATGAGTAAATTCATAGCAGGGAACAAACACACACACACAGCCGTGCTTCCATGGACCTTATCTATATCCCTCAGGCCTTGTGTCCCCATGTTCACACCCCTGACAGAGGGAAATGCTAACCGTATGCACACTGATAAACAGCACACACACCAGCATATGCCATAGGCCTACACAAGCTTCTGAAGGGTGAGAAGAAGGATAGGAATAAGCAACAATAGGTAGAAAGGTGTTGGAGGGATAGAGGTGGAGAAAGAAGTGTAATTAGTGGCCCTACGGACTATGGAGGGAAATAACCTGTTTGGCTAAGTATCACTTGTATGTCCATGTTCATTCTAAAAAGGGTTTGGTTAAAGAGCAGATAATGACATTGTTCAGACAGGTTCTCTTACAGCGCTGGTGTCTGCTGCCCGTCTACGTAGCGTCATCCGCTGGCGACTCCGGACAGAGAACAACCTCAGGGATTTCCGGCTCCGGGAGGCAAAGCTACGCAGAGGGGACACAGCCCTCTCGAACCTCCTGCCCCCGCCCCCACCTTCTCCCTCATCCTCCTCTTCTTCTTTCACCACCACCACCTCTTCCTCATCTCCCCAGACTAAGTCCAGTGCCCCCTGTAGGGAGCGACGCACGCTGCCCACCCAGCCAGAGACATGGACCTGGGCGGAGGACAGTTTACCACCCAGGTACTGCATGGCTATTGGCTACCACCGTGATGATGCTGACAGGTCACCGTGCTGACCGGGTCACCATGGAAACCAGTGAAACATGGTATCCAACCGTCAATACTTAAAAAATAATTGGATTAAGGTTTGAGGTGTTGAGATAACCCTCTCCCCTGGCAGTGTTTTACTTCCTGGTGCCAAAGGTCAAAGATGGCGGTAGTAGAAAATGTCCACCTCACGGAAAGTCCACAGGAACCAGTACAGGTTGAGTTCATCAAAGTCCGACTTAGGTCCAAAGTGTGCTGCTGGGGCAGGATCCATCTTATCTCCCCATGTCCTCCTGTATACGCCTCACTCCCACTTCCTGAAACAACTGTTCTTCTTTAGCCCTGTCAATCATTTGAACTGGCCAACCGTGTGCTCAGAATACAACAAAACCCTCCTCTGACACCACAGGGCTCCCCACAATGGATCTGAGCACACACAGTGACAATTAGACTCTGACAAACACTAAGAAACAGCCTGAAAGTGAAAACGTACTAAGTTATCAATCTATTACTCCTGTTGCAGCTGATAGACTATTTTCCTTATTGTATGTATTGTTCTTGTTCAATGCCCAGCCAGCCTTAAAAATGGACTACATATATCTACTCTACATCTACGTAGAACTACTTTAGCTCTCACTTATGTTCTTTGTCTATTAAGTATTTTTCTCTCTCTCTCTTGCTCTGACACGTTACCTTGTTCACACACACACACACCAAACCTGTCCGTCTCTCCCGCAGTTAAAACCCCCTGAACTCCCAGGTTCTCTCAGACCCTTCCTCCCATTTCTTTTCGGAAAATGGGAACAAATGGGAAAATCCGACGGGAATCTTGACTACTTCGGCTATCCATCCATGCACAGCCAGGTGAGATGAGCTTAACTCTCGACTTTGATCTCCACAGAGCTGAGTGAATGTTCCCAACGTTCCCAGAGAACAACAAACAAAGCTGGGTTCTGTGTTAAGAAGTAAGGTGGAAAATCCCACAGGAAGGTGAGGCTGGGCCAAGGTGCTGCTCTGCTCTCGCCTCCCTCTCGCCCTCTCTCTGTGCTGTAGGTAAGGGCAGGTGCCAGAGTGAAAAGCCTACCTTATTCAGGCTAGGGGAGGGAGAGAGAGAGACGAGAGAGAGAGAGAGAGAGAGAGAGAGAGAGAGAGAGAGAGAGAGAGAGAGAGAGAGAGAGAGAGAGAGAGAGAGTTATGTGGAGAGAGAAGAAAGGGAGACAGTGTTTGTGTATGTGTGAGAAAGAGGGAAGAGGAAAAGGGGGAACTTTCCTGTCAGTCGATGAGCCCTCCCTCTCTAGCTGTGTGTGTTTGTGCGTGTGTGTGTGTGTGTGCGAGAGAGGTAGAGAGATAGAGAGAGCAAGAGTGAAGGCGGCACTCTCTCAGCAAGGGGAGGGGTGACAAGGGACAGAGGGAGAGAGACAGAGAGCAAGAGCTAGCTTGTGGTACCATGTATGGTATTTATGAATTGCTGTCTTGAGAGAAGTGGGGTTGTTGAGCAGTGTTGATGGATGTAGGGTGGGAGGAGGATTCTAATCTATTATTAAGTTATGCAAGCATGCCTTCCACTACTACATACTGCCCATCTATCTGTCAGTCAGTCAGTGAATCAGTCAGTCTGAACGGGCCTCTCATGGTTGGCTGCTCATCCTGTGTTTGGATAGCAAACACTCAGACTCTTTGACACTTTGCTCTCTCAGCCCACATGAAAAAATATTACAGTTTACTATAGAATACTACAGTACTTACTATAGAATTCTATAGTAAACTGTAGTATACTGTAGAATACTATACTACACACTGTAGTATCCCCCGATCATGTGTAGTACTATAGCGAGTTGCAGTATACTATAGTTAATACTACAGTATTATCCGCAAAAAAAAACAGTAATGTCCACAAAAACACTACAGTCCGCAGTAACACATTACACTACAGTATTTAATGTGCATATACCCTGCTCATTCCCCTCCCCCATATCACAATTTGTGCCACCCATAATTGAGAAACCTACATGCCAAGTATAGACCATATATTGTATCCGTTCAGACCCCAGTCCTACCTAGGTTATGGAAAATGTGCTCTTCGTATTTCTCCAGTAGGTTTCCTGAAGGACAAAGCCCACACTTCTATGTCAAAGATAATTTTTAAAAAATACTATAGTAAATACTACAGTAATATCTGCAAAAATCACAACAGTAAATACTACAGTATAGTACAGTCTACAAAAACACTACAGTAAATACTACAGTATTATACAATCTGCAAAAACACTACATGAATTATTATCGTGTATAAACTACAGTTCCTCTACTACAGTATTTATGATATAGTTAACTGTAAATACTACAGTAAAGTCCGCAAAACACTACAGTGAATATTGTAGTACTGTATGTATGCTATAGTATTTTTTTCATGTGGGAGACCAGAAACAGACTTCCTCTAGCTCTAGTCTATCTCTAGTCTAGTCTACTCTAGCTCTAGTCTAGGTCTAGTCTAGGTCTATCGCTTCCTCTAGCTCTAGTCTAGCCCTAGTCTAGCTCTATCTCTAGTCAAGCTTTATCTCTATCTTGTCTATCTCTATCTCTAGCTCTTCCTCTAGCTCTAGTCTAGCCCTATCTCTAGTTTAGCTCTAGTCAAGCTCTATCTCTAGTCTATCTCTAGCTCTTCCTCTATATCTTCCTCTAGCTCTAGTCTAGCTCTATCTCTAGTTTAGCTCTATCTCTAGCTCTAGTCTATCTCTATCTCTAGTTTAGCTCTATCTCTATATCTTCCTCTAGCTCTAGTCTAGCTCTATCTCTAGCTCTTCCACTAGCTCTAGTCTAGCCCTATTCTAGCTCTATCTCTAGTCTATCTCTAGTCAAGCTCTATCTCTAGTCTATCTCTAGCTCTTCCTCTATATCTTCCTCTAGCTCTAGTCTAGCTCTATCTCTAGTTTAGCTCTATCTCTAGCTCTTCCTCTAGCTCTAGTCTAGCTCTATCTCTAGTTTAGCTCTATCTCTATATCTTCCTCTAGCTCTAGTCTAGCTCTATCTCTAGCTCTTCCTCTAGCTCTAGTCTAGCCCTAGTCTAGCTCTATCTCTAGTTTAGCTCTATCTCTAGCTCTTCCTCTAGCTCTAGTCTAGCTCTATCTCTAGTTTAGCTCTATCTCTAGTCTCTTCCTCTAGCTCTAGTCTAGCTCTACCTCTAGCTCTTCCTCTAGCTCTAGTCTAGCCCTAGTCTAGCTCTATCTCTAGTTTAGCTCTATCTCTAGCTCTTCCTCTAGCTCTAGTCTAGCTCTATCTCTAGTTTAGCTCTATCTCTAGCTCTTCCTCTAGCTCTAGTCTAGCTCTACCTCTAGCTCTTCCTCTAGCTCTAGTCTAGCCCTAGTTAGCTCTATCTCTAGCTCTTCCTCTATCTCTAGTCTAGCTCTTCCTCTAGCTCTTCCTCTAGCTCTAGTCTAGCTCTACCTCTAGCTCTTCCTCTAGCTCTAGTCTAGCCCTAGTCTAGCTCTATCTCTAGCTCTTCCTCTATCTCTAGTCTAGCTCTTCCTCTAGCTCTAGTCTAGCTCTTCCTCTAGCTCTAGTCTAGCTCTTCCTCTAGTCCAGCTCTATCTCTTACTGGTGAAACCTGACTCACCTACATCCCTAAAGTTATATAGATCATATTAAATATAAAATATTATTTTATCTTCACTGAAGCATTTTTCATTTAGTTTTATATATTAATTACAGCTAATAGCGATTCAGCATTGATAAGGGATTTTCTGTAACTAGTAACGCACTTGCTGTCCTCTTTTGACAAGGTTCATTATGTGCTTTTCAAATCTGCATATGACTGGACTCAATAATAATAAAATAATAATATGCCATTTAGCAGACGCTTTTATCCAAAGCGACTTACAGTCGTGCGTGCATACATTTTTTTTGTGTATGGGTGGTCCCGGGGATCGAACCCACTACCTTGGCGTTACAAGCGCCGTGCTCTACCAGCTGAGCTACAGAGGACGAAAGGTGACTTCAACTTTTGTTCCAGTAAATGTAGTTTGGTTATTTAGCACCACTTAGTGGACTAAATGGTAACCCACTCATTCAAAGGAAAGTGAAATTAGCTAAATATAAGGATAACATAGACTTGGATAGACTTCTCACATGCCACAAAGCCTATTTCAGCATAGGCAGCGCCATTGAGGGCTTTAAATTGAGAATGCCCTAAATAGCGTTACCTTCCACTGTCACAGAAACCATTATGGTAAAAATGCAAAGCAGAGCCCACGATCCAACTCAATGAATGATAAGTCTGTTTTTCACTCTAAAATTCTCTCTGCACTTTCATGTAAACACGAGAGTGTACTACAATAGAATGAGGAAGTAAGGAAGAAAAAAACACCCCACAACAACCGAGGAAACAGTTTGAATCACTGTTGAAGGGGAAATACTTAGAACATGACTCATTGAAAATAATAGTTCTGCATTAGTCAGCCTACTAAAAATACAACATAGAAGCAGAACAGCATGTTTGCTACACATAAATGCTGAGGTAATGTCAATACAAAGCAACAGGAGCAGTCTCCATATGTTTGTTCAAAACATTGCATAGCTCTAGAATTGTCTTCATAAACATCTGTCACTCAAACCCTTAATTCAAATTCAAAATGTTTGGTGTTTGCATAATCAAAATACTAACTAGATCATGTGGCTAGTTGATACCTCTCAATCCTGGAATGTGGAATGTCTTAACCTTTTTAGAGGTGACTCTTCCTAGCGGGTAGAACCATTCTTTGTGTTGTGCTTGTATATCAATAGAGATTACCTTCATATTTAACCATGTTACCTGCCCTGAATTCTCTAGTTCTCTTTTACACTGAGAGAAAGTGTGACTGTTTTCAATGTAGCTGTTAGTTCTTCTATGAGAAAAAAGATCACTCACCCATAGAAGCCTCAGGCACGACAGACACATTACTCCTCTCTTCATCCTTCACCAGTTTATCACTCTTAGGTCGGTATTTC